CCGGCTAACCAAAGGAAATAATTTCAATTAGACTTTTTAAGTCCGTAGAATACATTTTGAGTAATTTTGAACTAAGTAATTTGAACCGAGTAATTTGAACTGAAGCGATGAGATGCATCCGGGAAGATTAAGTGTTGCTCCAGGTATGTAGAAAGAGTGAGAAGCAGCATAGCCGGTGGTTTCTTGCCTGCTCGAAGCAGGCCGGCTTTTAAATAGGAAAATGGCAGATTCAGGAGATTATCGTATGCGGTGGGAAAGGTTGGATCGAGAAAATGAGACGGTTATAATGCTTGGTTGTATTGAAAGTAGTGATGCGGCTCGGTTCGGCTCACGGCTAACACTGATCAAGCCGAGCCGAGCCGTTACTCTAATATATAGCGATAGGTTTCCTTAACTTTATGCAATTGTATTTATGTGATAAATTTTTTTTTTTTTTTACAAAAATATAACCTCATTTATAATACCATACATATGAAGCTATTCTATGTAAGTATATTCACTTAGAAACATTTTTTAAGTAGAAAATAGTATAATAAAATATAAATGCTAATATATAGAAACTTCGAATAGTTTCTATATACTTGAAACATTAGGTTTTAAAGGTGGTTTGGTAAAGCTTTATCCGAATAATTAAATAAATTGTCAATGCCATTGAAGTCACAATGGTAGGTGAGTTTATTATTGGTTATCGTATAAGCGCTCGTGAGCGTTATTTTGAAAATCGTGATCGGCTCCAAAGTTTGAGCCGAGCCGTTTTTAGAGCCGTTGCTTTATTAGTAGGCCTGGAGCTAAGCAGTTAATCGGCTCGGCTTAGCCGTTCGCATCACTAGTTGAAAGGGGAAAGAGCGAGTTATTCGTCGTTTATTTATATATTGATCGTGGTTTGTGGCTTTTCTGTTATACAAGAAATTACTGTGGTCTGTTCGATCAGTTGACTCTTGCTAACATGCATTAAAATTAGATTTCACGATAAAGCACTTAATATATCATCAGCACTGCGACTATAATCTCACACATGGAAAGGAGCTTTGATGACTTGTTGATATACCTGTAGATTCGGAATTCTTTAAAGTGGTAGATTTTACAGCTTAAACTAAAACACCAATATTTTTTATTGCAAGGCAATTTTTAATGACTTTATTAGTGCTCCGAAAGGGTCATTAGGGTCGGGTTTAGGGTTGAACCCGAACTCAACCCGCGTAGATCAGGTTATAATTTATTATCATAAAATTAATTCATAAAATTAAATAAGACTAGAAATAGTTATGAAATCTATCAAAATACTTTGAAGCTTCCAATCATTTGCAATCCAACGCCCGTAATAGCAAAAAACAAATAAATATTTGTTGAAGTCCAACAGTCTAAGGCGAATGAAATCTTTCCTAGAATGTTTTGATATAAATGCATCATATTTGTACGTTCTTCTTCAAAACATTTTATAATATTATTCTTAATTGTATCTCCTGTAAAAATTAATACATTTGGATTTAAATCTTTATCATTTGCTGAAAGGGTTCATTTTCAGAAGTTGTAAATGGTTTATTGTCTAAAACTATCTATCTAATTAAACAATGAAGAACATTTTCTTGTGTAAATTCAATAATATTAACTGATTCAACTTGATTTTCTAACTTTCGTGGATCAAGATCAGGATGATGTTTCTCAATATGGCGCCAATGTTCGTTTATGAGAATCACCAATTCTGTGAAACCAAACTTTTGGAAATTTCACGATGAGTTAATGCTTGTGAATGTTCTGGTTGTAGTTCTTTTTTTATAAGTAAGCCTTCAGAAAAAAGTCTACAACGTCGTCTACTTTGAAAAGTGGCAGGATCAAGCTCCAATTGAGTGGGTTCAGTTGATGAAATTATTAATGAAAATTTTTGTTTGATTTTGGATAAAAGAATAAGAAAAAAAATATAGTTAAATATTTATTGATTCAAGCTGACGTCATTTGATTCAAAAAAAATCATTTAAATATTTATTAATTCAAGTTGATGCGGATAATTTCAGGTTCGGGCTTTTAGTTCAGGTCACCCGAACTAAATTGACCCTTTCGGAGCACTAGACTTGATCAATGAATATCTTGGAAGAAAATCCTTATTTCACAAACTGGCTATTATATCAATACTGCATATCGTTTACGAAACAAAAGCAGTATTCCTGATATTGTCATACAGCGTAAATAAACTTTATTAGAAATAATTTCAGAATTGAAAATTGTTAAAGTTATTAACGTGCATGAAGCTGTGTGAATGCATTTACATCTATATACCATAAAATTCAATTGTAAAAATAGTATAAAAATAATTCCTACAAATGCAAATGCACTAGTTTATCATATGGATATAGGTTTCATCCTAATAGAGAGTAAATATTTAAATGTGTTTGAAAAAAAATAAGCATTTTTGAAAAAAAAGATTGCATTTATACTGTATATATATTATATAATGGTATATATATAATATATACAATTTATTATTAATAAAATTTGGTATCCTGTTCATATTTAAATATTTAATTCCTATTTAAATCGTTTTAGAATTTATATAAATAGATTTAAAGTCGAATGGTTGATTCTGAATCTATAGATATTCCGTAACCTTATTGTAACAACCAATGTCTCTATATAAATATGAGATGACTTATGTGATCGGGCATTCTTAAATATTTGATGTATTGTAAGAGAAACAAAATAGAAATATTGTATATACAAATTTAAAATATAAACCAATAAAATTAAACGTACAGTCGGCTCCAAAAGTTTATCATGGTTACACGAAACATAAAAAACCAAAAATTTCAATTAAATATTTATTGCGCAGAATAATAAATTGTTTTTTCGTGTAACCGTGATAAAAATAAAAATATAGTCTATTTCAAGATTCCAATTTACAAAGCCATATTGCCTACCAAAAAGTGAAGATACGCAACACTAGATTGACAGTAATTAATTGTGAAATACTAATACTAGATTCTTTATGTTTTGTAATAATACAGTATAAGGTGAAGGGAGGAATTTGGCAGAGTTAGAATTTATCAAAATTCGCCAATAGTAAATAAACCTTTATTAAAAAGGGCTTTGTAATTTACTGCTATAGCGATGTATCGTTATCCCCAGGTTCATGTCAAAATTCTGAAAGTAAAATCCCAAAAGTTAAAATTCCGAAACCAAACTTGTGACATCGCTTTTTTATAGTTAGGTTAGGGTTTAGGGTTAGATTTATTAATAAAAGAATATGTGGATTTTAGTAGGTTCAGTAGATTTAAATAGGGCCCCAAATCTCTGCATCAGCCGCGACAATTATTATTAAAATAAAAAACTTTTGTATAATAAACTATATAAACAACCTTTATGTAAGATTAATAAAGAATTTACTTTTTTATAAAAAAAGACATTTGGACTATAAATGTAAAAAACTATTTTGGTTTGTAAACCAATTCGATATTGATTTTTTGTGAAATTGCCGAGTTTCATATCAAAAATCAATGCCGGAATGTGAAAAAATTCTCTAAATATCGATATTATCAAATTTTGCTTAACCCAATTAGATTGCGTAGATTCTATTTAAAGACTCTTAATAACTTAAACTCTTTGGCATGTCAATGGCTATCATGTCAGATTCTCTATCTGACATGGATCCTTAAACATGTCCATCTGATCTGGTCCTACAGGACATGCTAAAAATAGGGTTGATAGCTCTTTTAATTGATTTGATGATAACAGTTCGTAATATCGTGCAAACCATGGTTAGTGAGCACTACTAACATTATACAGTCTGCTCATAGGCTTGGCTCTACTTAAAATGTGCGAATTTTATGAAAAGTGCTTGAACTATCGAACAATATTGGTCAGAGGTAACCATTGTACCTCTCACGTCATATAAAATTTGGTAGTGACGTCCATTGACGTCCATATACCACTGCTTCAGTGACATACACGTACACAACGGTAGTGGATGGTGCAAGTTTTTGTCACGTTAGATTTGTGTATCAGCCATTGCCCGATATGTAAGTGATTTAAAAAAATCTGTTACTCTAGCGGACATTGACATATGCACTGGTACTAACGCTTGACGTGAACCCTGCGGAACCCTGATTATTGCAATATGAATATTATATATTTTTATAAAAAATATATATATTCAATTTTTCAAAAACGAACGTCTTATACCAAAATAAATTCGAATAACGATAAAAGGTTGATATTATTTCAATTATGTCTTAACTAGAGCGACGGACATGCTGATCTCTGTAACTCTTGTATCGCAAGATTATAAGGTACCAAAAAATTTCATGATAATTTTACAGGAAAGTGTTCGAATTCTATATTATCTAATTATATATACATCATCTCTTCGGATGAATGTTCTTGCTTGCATAGGTTATATTTATTAACATCTGACTTATTCAAATTCAAACGCTGAGAATGACTATAGACGAATGATATTAATTTCGAATTTATAGGATTCCCTCGTTGAAGGTTTTTTTTATTTAGCCCTTTTGAACTTGCTTTGCATATATATTCAGAATCTTACATTAAATAAAAGTGAAGCATGAGCAAAGTGAACAATGATGAGAACCAAACGATTGGATCAAATTCCCTAGGATAGAAAATCGTCGTTTTTTCGCATGTGATATAGAAAAACTTGAGCGGAATTTTAGAATTAAATAACCATGTGAGAATTCTGCAAAAAAAATATTCATATGAAATTCCTTTTTCATAATTCTTGGAGAACATTTTTCCTGTAACCGCTATATACAAAAATTCTATTGGCTCCATATATTATTGCGTTCGATGAATCATAAGATTTATAGTAGATCTCACAAAATATGACTGAAAAAGGAAATATCTCATTCTTTTCACATGTTAAATTCATGTGCATTTAGAAGATGATACGCGTTTTAAGGTAACTAAATACTTTTTTTTTCTTCTTTTTCCTGCACTTATTGATATCGATACATCTATTGCGACTAAAATTCAACAAAGAGGTATAAAGCATGTTGACAAAGATTAAAAGACATCTTGAATGTGCTGTATCATTTACAGTTGGAGCTTTTTTTGGAGTCTTTTTTGTTGGAATTCCGCTATTAAAAGATTGGATTATTAAGAAAGAAAATGTTTGGCGTCTTGAAGATAGAAGCGATGGTACTAATGAATTTAAATTTTGTAATTGGAACCCGTATTTTCTTATTAAATTCAATTGATTACATTTTTATATTATAGCTATATCGAAACTTAACACTCAATCCTCAATTTATGGTAATCATAAAACATTAACAATTAATGGAAAATCGTTTCACTATGTCGAGTCTGGTAACGTCAATGGGCCGCTCATTCTATTTCTTCATGGCTTTCCTGAGGTACTGTGCACACAAAATACAAAATATTTGGATGAATCAGAGAAACGCACCAAATTTTTTCAAAGTAGAAAATTTTTTTTTAAAAATCAATCCTATAAACTTGAAGAATTCACTTAAAAAAATTTGTATTAAATCTGATTAAGTTTTTGCCGAGTTAAGAGGTCAAAAAATTCTCATAAAAAAGAATTTGATGTGTTTCTATTGATTCACCCCATATATTAAAATTATATAAACATCAACTAATTTGTCTGGAATGATCTTAATTTATTTTCGAATATTGTTATGTGTTTTCTTTAGTTTTGGTATTGTTGGCGATATCAACTCGATGGTTTAAAAGATATGAATTATCACTTGGTAGCCATGGATATGGTAATTGCATTATATTACATATATTCATGTTTAAAATTATATTATTTTTATATTAATAACAATTAATAACAAACCTTTCTTTAGCGTGGTTTTGGAGGAAGCTATAAACCAAAAGAATTGGAAGCATATCATCCCGATCACTTAATATCAGACATTCGTAGTTTCATACAAGAATTGTCACCTAATGGACGCGCAGCTTGTGTCGTCGGCCATGATTGGTAAGATCGATAAAGACCTTTCAAGCATAAATTCCAATTCTCTCGTTATTCATTAATCATTTCCGGCTGATTATAATAATAGGGGTGCAGTACTTGCTTGGGCTGCCGCAGCGCAAAGCTGGGAATTCGACCATGCAGACCAATCAGGTTATATGGAACGATTGATCATATTAAATGGACCACATACACTTGTTTTTCTTAACAACATTAGTCAAAAATTCTCGGATGCTTTCCATGCTCTAAATTTTAAATATTTGATCAAAAATCCACGTGAAGCTATTCGTCAATCATGGGCGCATCTATCACCATGTTTTAACCAAATTTTAAAAAGTTATTATGTGTTTGTATTCAGGCTTCCTTTGTCAATTGGTGAGAAATGGATTATGACAAGAGATCTTGGAATATTTGATTTCTGTTTTGGAAAGATCTGTACACCAGATGATATAGAAGTTTATAAAGCAACATATTCTTCTGATAATTATGCCAGTATCAGATGCAGTTTAAATTATTATCGATGCGAATCGATTTTGAGCTTGTATGATGGACAAAGAGCAAGAGGAATAAAGCAAGTTGGATTTATAGGAATTCCCACTTTAGTAATTTGGGTAAATAAATTTACGTTTAATATCGCTGTTAATTAAAACTAAAGTTAATTATTATACTTTCTGATAGGGTGAGGATGATTTTGCGTTAAGAAAGAATTTTTGTTTGGATAACCTTGAAAAGTACGTCACTAATCTAACCATAGTGGACGTTCCTGAAGCTGGTCATTTTATTCATCAGGAAGTTCCTGAAAAAGTCAATGATTTAATAAGGAAGTTCATAACTAGTAAAGGAAATCTTCGTGATATTGATGGAAATTATAATTAGAGATGAGTTAAAATTAGCATTTTCAACTCCTTATCACTCTTGACTTTCGAGAGTTATAGCACTTGACGTATCAAGTCAAGTCAGATTTTATTTACAAATTAATTTTGTTAAATAATTGTATTAGATTGATTCAGAATTAATTTATTTCGAAAATAAGTAGGAGTTTAAAAAATCCCATTTCTGTTTTTAAATTCCGAAATTAGAAAACGAAATAGATGTATTTTTCTATCATCATATAAAAAAATTAGAATTTATAAATCACTTATTCCAAAACAAATACATCACTAATTTAATTCGAAATCAGAAACCTGAACATTAATTCTGAATCACCCTATTATGTTGATTATTAAAATTTTATTTGTATTATTTTTAAATCTGAATAATTTTTATATACTAAAAAAAGTACAATAAATTTATTATTTTTTTGATGACATTTATTCTCCGACAACTAAGATTGGCCTGATTTAAAGAGGACGCCATGTAAACCATTATTTGTTCCCTTGATATTTTAAAGTTACCTTCAATAATAAAAAAGGGTTTTATACCCTAATTAAAACGAAAAGTCTACGAACATGTATTTATCACGTAAATTTAAGGTACGGTCAACCTCTCTACCCTCTCTAAATGCATGCAACAGTTTCCTTGGGACTTAGAGCTAAGTCACACCTCTAAATTCTGCACGTGCAAGAGAGATTGAACGCGGCGAATATTCTACGGACAGAGCTTAGGGACAGATAGGGACAGAGCAGAATCATGTGATTGGTTAGTTAGCGGTTAGGGTTTATGGATTTTAATAATATCATGTGATTCTGCTCTATCCTTAAGCTCTGTCCGCGTGAACGCGGGACTTAGCACGTGCATCTCTCTTGCACGCACGTGATTAAGAATTCTTATAACAACTTACAAGCCAATTCTTATTGGATAAAACGCTTATAATTTATTGCCTAATTATCACATGGTTCTTGCCGGATATAATCCGTAAATGAAAGCATTCTTTAAATGTATGTTTGTTCCTCAGAGCGTGCATCTAGGGAAGTTTGACTGTATAAATTAATTTCGCCAATAACTGTTTTATCGATTGCTATTTCGCCGACAAAGGTGGCCCGATTTGGGTTAGGGTTGGTTTGATTTATAGTTAGCGTTGACTAGATGTAGATTGTCGGTGAATTTTATCAGAACCGAATTTGCACCAGATACTAAATTTTTGGAAATATATATATATGTACGTCAAATTAAAATTTGCGTCATAAAATTTTTTGACAGATCAAAATAATTACGTATAATACCGCTAATATCTACCCTAACATAAGGTTTCACTCTAACCCTAATGAAGCTCCGTATTTAAATTCTAATCTGACGCAAATTTTTATATGATGACACGACATATCGATATACACGCACGTCTTGAATGTGTGCCAGGTTGGTGGCGCAATCGGCCTAAGCCCCAGCGATCAGGATTAATTGTAATCAATCGATCATGCAGAATACGTAGTACTTAAGTACGTACGTTACAAATTATATAATATAATTAACTTTTTTATTACATATACGTATACGTAAGTATATACTACGTATAATTAACATTTCCATACTACTGTACTAATTTATAACATTGCCTTTATTGGATTTTCTACACTCAGTGGATGAACGTAACGACGAAAAATTCGTGCTAGTACGTACATGGAATTAACGAACAAAAATTTATTATTATTTTTTTTTATAATAATATCGATATATTTCTGATTAATTCGATAAATCTTATGATTTCTTACAATTTATTTATTTATTTATTTATTATTATTATTGTTGTTGTTTGGTCAAGTCGCAAAAAGCATTTCCTTTTATGCTTCGTTATAGCCTAGTTCTATTATGCAAGACCATTTACAAAAATCAGAATCATCTGATGAAATATTGGAAGTAACTTCAAAGTATCCTTTTTTTTTTTTTTGTTGAATTAATAATAGTTCGTATTTTACAAAATGACGAAGTGATGATTTTTCGGTTGAACTGAATGAAGTTAGTGGTTTAGTTGAACAGAATGAAAAGGCTGATGGTTTTCGGTTGAGCTGAATGGGGTTGATATTTTCTTGCAAGAAATCAAAATGATTACCAAAATGCCGAATCCTAATATCGTACCGCTTTGGATAAATTTATTACAAGATATTGCGCATCAAAATTCAATCTCACGATTGACTTCCTTATATAATAACTGTAACACGGATTTGTCACGTGTTAAAAATGATGCTATGATCCGCGTTCAAGTCGAATTTGTTAAACGGCGTAAGTTGAGTGGGCCTAATCAAGCTAAAAAGTCACGTACTATTTTAAATGAAGTGAAGGAAAACATGATCCTCAAACTATTCCCTCTCGTAAAAAAGAAAAATTAATAAAAGGGATCATGGTTTGAGCAAGAATGTTGCAAAAAATCAATTAAATTAATTTTATTTGTCATTTCGAAGTTATTTTGTAACTATTTTATAACTGTATCATTTGCACAAACGATTAAATTCAATATATTAATTTAAATCATGCTTATTTTTTCTTATCGTTTCAACTTAACGTGACATTGTTAATCTTCATTAACCGTGATTTCGCCGAGTCTACGGACAGTTCTTACGGACATGCTGACTAAAATTAACTAAATCCACCTACCCTAACCCTAACCCTAATCCTAATTCTGGCCACTGAACTGTCCCTAAGAACTGTCCGTAGCTTCTGCGCCGTGATTTAATGTTGAGTCTCGTGATTTTGCTACGGCATGTCTAATTGCGCCACCAACCTGCCACACATTCAAGAGGCGCGATGTATATAATATATATTGAGATAATATATGTCAGGGATGATGTTGAAATTTGAACTTATTTTAATATGAAATTTTAAAAATTTTTGGGGTGTTTTTCTAGATTTTTTTTTATGGTTGGATTATGATTTAGGGTTAGGGTTTATAATTAAAGAGTATAAGCGGGTTTTTAGTAAGATTTATTGTTTTTAAATAGAGACCCTAAATTTCAGCATCATCTCTGACATTTACTATTACCTAACTTATTATCTTCAATTATAGTTGCTAAATAACCATAGCAATTATTCTATGCCATTGTGAAGCCCGGAAATCATGACTTGAAAGCTACTGCGCCAACGCACGTTACCCCGGTTATGAAGATCGTATTGGATATAATGAAGAAATTAGATATACCCTGGATAACTAATATAACGAAGATAATAGATATAATCGATTTAATAGGGATAATAGTTTTATTAGTTATAAGAGAGATAACAGTTTTATCTGTTATAACCCATTTAATAGTTATAGGAGATATAATGATTTTATTTGTTATAATCAATTTAATAGATATAAGGGATATAATGATTATAATAAGTACTAAGTAAAGGTTTATTATAAATAAAGGCGTTATCGCCTCAAGAAAAATTAGGTCTCGTTTGTTTCACTGATAACCAAGTCTCAAGTTTATTAAATACAAATACTATTGCGCGAATACACTTTTTAAACCCTGAAGTTATAATTTGTTGTTCGTTAAGCCCTTGTTCACGTGACCTGGCATTGCTGACTCTGAGTAACCAAAGCCTTAATCACCCTCTAGCCAAATCTAACACGCCTCTTTCATAAGGTCATCGACCGCAGGTTACGCGAGTTTCTAGATTGTGAAGCGACCAAGTCGCCATTTTTTAGTCATCACACCATTTATTAAACCTTTTTTGTATCATATATAGTATGATGAATTCTCAATTTCTATGTTCAATCATTCTAACATTCTTTTTTTACAGGACTTTGCTATAAACCATCCAGTACTCTTTCCAATTCATTTGACTATACAAGATATTCCAAAAATTTTTCAATTGTTTGATCTTTCAAGCTCAATTATTTTTTGATAAACTGACATGAACACAAAACATTGTAATAAAATCATGGAAAATAAACAAAATAATCTCTGAAAATTCGATTCAACCAAGATGATAATAATTTTAAATATTTCAATGAGGGATTGTTAGAATCAGTGACAAGAAGTGTTGGAAACTTGGAGTTAACAAAAACTATAAAAAATTTTTTTCTTTATTTCAGTTAAGAAAATCCACAATACTATTATGCTTAAGACATTTTTTTGTGGCATGAATCTTGGTCAATTCCTATTTAGATCTTAAGGCTTGGTAAAGAAAGAAGAGGTACCGTAAATTCCCAAAATAGCAGGCAATAGGCTATTTCGAAAATTGCACTAAAAATAACATAATTTCGAAATAACTTTCATGCATATCTCAAAATAACACACACCTCACATAATATTTAGTGAATTTATAATATAGTAAAAAATTAGGCTTTGAAATTGACTCTATTGTATATTTCACATGGGTGTATTCGAAATAACGCACAGATGTAGTATCTGAAATTGGATTGCGGAGTTGGCAGACCACAAATGATTTATAAGTTTTCGAAACTAAAATCTGAAATGCATATGCAAATAAATTTTGTAAATTTATATAGAAATTTTCGAATTTGCATATAGATATATTCATATGTGCAACTAAACTCATATGATCCGCAAGTAGATTTTTTATTTAGTCGTGGGCTCGCAACTAAATTAAAAATTGAATTTCAGATAAGAATCTGCGATATACCACCTAAGCTTACAACCAGTGTTTAAAATCTAGTGTTCTCATGTTCTCAAAGAGCATTCAATTTTGTTTAAGAGCATTGATATTTAAAATAAAGTTCTTTTATTTGAGAACATTTTTTTCTTTTAAAATGATCTCAATTTTATTAAGAACGATAAATTATATAAAATGTTTTAAATTTAATATATAAAATTTATAATGGTACGTATACTTATGTATACGTATATATAGATTGCAAATTTATTGTTACGTATTAAAAATTTAATATGTATAGTGTACCACAATATATAATTCAATATATGTATATGTCGTTCCTCAGATGTCGATCGGCCTAAGTTAGGATAGGGTTAGAGCTAGCGCTAGGGTAAGATTAG